GGGGGGGGGGGGTGAGCTATTTTGTGATTGCTAATTAATTCCAAAAAATGTAAAATCAAACCTAAATGCAATGCATGGTGTTTTTGTAATTTTTTTTTATTTATAATGGAAATTAAACATGCACAAAACTTCAAATAATTAATAAAATTCTACAAAAAGTCCTATAAAATTGCAAAAATTGGAAAAAATTATTTTCTTATATTTAATGGGAGTAATTCATATAGGGAAAAAATCACTTGCTCACAGCTGCCCCTCTTTGCTTGGAAATACAAAGAGTTTTCGTACAAAGATAAAGTGAGCGGATACGAGCGATTTTTGTCCATTCGGATACTCCGTGGGAAGCATTTTTGAAAGATTTGACCGCACCCTGCTTCCGAGGTTGCCTACATATCCTTGGCTATAAAGGAATCACGTCAGTGTAGTTCGAAAGTTTTGATAGCTGGGACTACCAGGAAGTTGTGATTTCACTGTTGTTACTGCTGCTACTGCTTGCTGAACTCCTATTACACCAAGATAAAATAAAAGAAGCTAGACTAAACTATGATCTATGAATTACAAGAATCATATCTATATCTTCAAACTTGATCTTGCAGTTTCTGTTGCTCTATTGACTTGTACTCTCCAGATGAAATTCCTTTGTTACTGACTTGAGTTGTATTTTTGACTTGTACTCTCCAGATGAAATTCCTTTGTTACTGACTTGAGTTGTATTTTTGACTTGTACTCTCCAGATGAAATTCCTTTGTTACTGACTTGAGTTGTATTTTGAGGTGCTTTCCCTTTGTTTTCTAGGAGAGCGCCTGATTACCAACATTTGAATTATCTTTTTTCTTCTGAAACTTGAATTGTTTTCCCTTTGTTTTTCAGGTGGGCGCCTGATTGTTGAACTGAACCGTGTTCCTTTGAAATGACTTCCTTTCCTCTAAAACATGAATCATTTTCCCTTGAAACCATGTGCTACCTTCTTCTGAGACTGAAACTGTATTCCTTATTCTCCAAGTGGGTGCCCGATTACCAACACTTGAATTGCTTTCCCTTTGTTCTCCAGGTGGGCTCTTGATTACCAAAATTTGCACTGTTTTTCCTTGAGACTTGAACTGCTTCCCTTTGTTCTCCAGGTGGGTTCCTGATTACCAACACTTGAATAGCTTTCCCTTTGTTCTCCAGGTGGGCTCCTGATTACCAACAATTGAATTGCTTTTCCTTTGTTCTCTAGAGGGCTCCTGATTACTAATGCTTGAATTGCTTTCCCTTTGTTCTCCAGGTGGGTTCCTGATTACCGACACTTGAATTGCTTTTCCCTTTGTTCTTCAGGTGGGCTCCTGATTACTGAAGCTTGAATTGTGTTTCCCTTTGTTCTCCAGGTGGGCTCCTGATTACCGACACTTGAATTGCTTTCCCTTTGTTCTCCAGGTGGGCTATTACCGATGCTTGAATTGCTTTTCCCTTTTTTCTCCAGGTGGGCTCCTGATAACTGACAGTTGAATTGCTTTTCCCTTTGTTCTCCAAGTAGGCTCCTGATTACCGACACTTGAATTGCTTTTCCCTTTGTTCTCCAGGTGGGCTCGTGATTACCGACACTTGAATTGTGTTTCCCTTTGCTCTCCAGGTGGGCTCCTGATTACCGACACTTGAATTGTTTTTCCCTTTGTTCTCTAGGTGGACTCCTGATTATCGACACTTGAATTGTGTTTTCCTTTGTTCTTCAGGTGGGCTCCTGATTACCGACACTTGAATTGTTTTTCCCTTTGTTCTCCAGGTGGGATCCTGATTACCGACACTTGAATTGTGTTTCCCTTTGTTCTCCAGGTGGGCTCCTGATTACAAACACTTGAATTGTTTTTCCCTTTGTTCTCCAGGTGGGCTCCTGATTACCGACACTTGAATTATTTTTTCCTTTGTTCTCCAGGTAGGCTCCTGATTGCCAACACTTGAATTGCTTTTCCCTTTGTTCTCCAGGTAGGCTCCTGATTGCCAACACTTGAATTGCTTTTCCCTTTGTTCTCCAGGTAGGCTCCTAATTACCGACACTTGAATTGCTTTCCCTTTGTTCTCCAGGTGGGCTCCTGATTACCAACACTTAAATTGCTTTTTCCTTTGTTCTCTAGGCGGGCTCCTGATTACTGACACTTGAATTGCTTTCCCTTTGTTCTCCAGGTGGGCTCCTGATTACCAACATTTGCACTATTTTTCCTCGCAACTTGAACTGTCTTCCCTTGTTCTTCAGGTGGGCGCCTGATTACAACAAAATAGACAAAACAAAAGAATTTTTTCTGCCCCAGTTTGATATTGGGAACATCTTTGAGTGTTAATCGAATCATGGTACCCAAAAACTCTAAGTATTTAAAATTTAAATCTCATTATCTAGGAGGGTCCTGAAAACTCCTAGTTAACTGACAGTTTTTTTTAAGTTAAATGATATTTCCTAAAGGTATGACTTCCGCTAAATCTTGTTAGCTATGAAGATCTTAAAATTAATCCCATTATCCAGTAGGGTCCTAAAAATTAATATCAAATCTTATATTAAGAGTGACAACTTTAAGGCAAAATTATATTTCCCTATAACAGAACTTACGTTAAATCTTGTTATCTAATGGAGGTCTTAAAGCTAAGTCCCATTATTCAAGAGGGTCCTTAAAATTTCAAATTGAATCCTATCCTAAGAATGAAAACTTCAAAGCCAACTTATATTTTCTCAAGCTAAGGTAAAGCTTATGCTAGATCTTGTTACTCATGAATGTTTTGAATTTTAAACTAGGTCCCATTGTCCAGGAGGGTCCTGAGGATTTACGGTCGAACTTGTCCGGTACTTGCTTTCCTTACAGAGGGTTTCTCCGAATCAAACGATATTTTTTGCCCCTATTTCAAATCAAAGAAAAAGCTTGTCAGTTTAAAATGTGGTGGTTAGTTTGTGGCATTCTTGCTGAAGGTGCCCTCTCCGCTGCCGTGCTTTGCTTTGACTGGTTGCCTTGAACTAGCCAAAGAACCGTTTGACTTCTGACTGGATCTCAACCGCAGGACCTTGGATGACCCGAGTGTTTTACACCCATACTGTTGTTTTACATTTCTGACCTTTCTACCTGAATCTCTGTATCTTCCACAAGATTACTAAACCATTCGACCAATGGAACTTTCACTAACGCCTTATTTCCCACTTTACATCATGCTATCTCTGGTATGCTTTGGCCGCACTTTGCTTTGTGCAATTTTGAAAGCTGGTAGTAACCTTTGAAATCCCTTCTCACTTGCTCAAACAAAACTGACATCGGAAAAATCTTAGAGAAATAAACCAAAAAGAAATGAAATGCAATGACTTTGAGAGTTAAGAATAAAGAAGAAAATCTAAAAACTGGATGATTGTTTGAGGGGAAAAAAGAAAAGAGACTTATCTAAGCGGAACAACTGGCACCAATGATCATGACATGTTTTTCGGATTAATCAACCCAGCCTATTCAACCAATCACCTTCCCGCTGTCATACTTTATGCCCCAGGATTTTTATAACCCAATTTCTTTGCCAAATCACTGACCTTGCTCGGCTTGCGGTGCCTTGAAGGGTTTTCACCAACAAACCTCTATCATTTGTTCATTTCTCAACTCACTGTCGCCTTACGATGCCTATGAGGGTTTTCACCAATAAGACTCTCTTATTTTTTTTAAATTTTCTCAACTTTCCGTAACCTTACGGTGCCCGTGAGGGTTTTTACCAATAAGACTCTCTCATTTTTTATTTTCTTGCTCAGAACGGAGTGTTGCCCCTGATATGAATCACACCCATACTTGCTCGACTTGGCATCTCTCGATGATTGATCAGAAGGTCTTTCTTTAGGCCGTAATGTGGGCTTTGGATATGGTTAGAAAGAAAGGATATCACAAAGGCTCAAAACAGCTTGAATGAGTTCAAAATTATAACTTTTGGAATCAGATCTCTTACAACAACCAATTTTCTGCCCCAAGTTTCTTTGCTTGGGGACTTTTGAATTTTTATTTTGATGGGACCGAATCGTGAGGCTGCCTACGTATCCTTAAAAGCAATCAGGTCAAACGTAGTTCATGTCATAGGAATTACTTTGTTGTTGTGATTTTTCTCTTTTCTCTTTTCTCTTTTCTTTCTCTCCTTTTCCTTTTCTTTTCTTTTCTTCTTTTTTTTTTCTTTTATTTTCTTTTTCTTTCTTTGTCTTTTTTTTTCACTCTTTCCATTCTTTTCTTTCTCTTTTCTTCTTTACTCACCTTTTGCGCTCGTGTTTCTGAACTTTGCTACTGATTCTAAAAGAGCGGTACGAAAGGAAATAGATAAGGCTCAAAGGGGTAACAAAGGATAAAGTGTTTAGATAGCAGAACAAAATGTCTTCGTCATTCCAATCTTCAAAACATGCCAAGTACAGACAAATACAATTTTAACCAAAGAAATCATACATAATATCTTTTGACTACATCAGAATTGATAGCCGTATCTACACATTTACCTTCTATATCTGCTAAATACAAATCATCATTGGACAACACTCTCGTTACGATGAACGGCCCCTGCGAATTTGGGGAGAACTTGCCTTTTGGTTCAACCTGATGTGGAAGGATGCGTTTCAATACTTGCTGACCCACTTCAAATTGTTGG